TTACGTAGTTTATGGAAGACCACTTAGTATTCTACTGGGACAACCTGTCCTCTTTCTTACCACCTCATTCACTCCTTTCTTCAACCTAGAGTCCTAGACCCTTGAGTAGGTTCTACACTCTAATAATAATAAGAGTAATCTAGCACCGATCATCGGTTATTTTTTTAAAAAATCGGCAAAAAATATAATTATAACATCATATTTAAATTTACAATTTATCTACATTTTACAACTGGATCTCTCTCGTTGGTTTGCGTGCTTAGTAATCAGCAAATTGTTAGAATAATCGAACGATCTGAAAACTCCAACGTATATCTAAAAAGTAAATTTATCCTTTGTCAAGTTAGAAATTTATGAAATTAATTCATTCAAATTAGCATGATTTCACTCTTTATGTTTTTAAAGCAAAACAATATTTTATACATGTAAGTTATTTGGTTGAAATTTTTCATTTATAGATAGATATTATTTTAATATTGCTTTAGGACTTTATTCTGTGATTAATTATCGATTGACAAAACCAAATTGATAAACGAAATAAAGCAAATTTGTAACGGGGTCGATCGATATGAGAAAATACAATGTCACGCGATCTGATTTCAGATATAAAAATCTGATGCTATTCATGCAAATTTTTTTAAATTCCTCGATAATAATCAAGTTTTTCCAGTATTTACATAGATGACTTTTTAGTAAAATCTTGTGGATTAAAAAAAAAAAGTCATTGTGCCTAAACGACGAATTTAATGAAGTTCTACCAATTCAAACTTTTTAAAAGGCTAATATCTAATAAACGTTTTAAATTTATAATATATAAATATTAGAAAATACAATCATTTTTCTTTTTTTGTATAAAATTCGGTATAATTCGATGTATAAAATTCGGTTTGTTGGGATACGGCAATGCAATACATGGGCGATCTGCCAAGGAAGGTGTGTCTCCCGGGAGGAATCTCTATGAGAAATTGGTCCTTGTTTAGGTTTTAGACACTTGAGGAACCCGGAAAACTCCACATGGCCAACCCGTTGATAAGCACGAACCTTCGATTAACTTGTTCAGTAGTTTTATCCAACGAGGTTAAATATACTATATAGAGTGGCTGTGATCATGGTTACAGCGCTCTTGATGGCAACGACGGGTACTATCGATCGCCATCTTACTTTAAGTCAAAACATTGAAGTCTGTACCACGTGTGGGGAAGGATTGTCACTTTAAAAGCTATTTTTCACATCTAAATCTATATTGTTTTGTTTGACCCTAGATTTGAAATTTAAGCAATAAGTGATATAAATCTATTTGTTTCATCTCGAATTTAGCTATTTTTTAGATTTTAATTACTATAAAGAAGGTAAGATCAGTACTTAACCTTCAATATAACATTTTTATAACCTAAGTACGAGGCAGAGGCAAGTCTTGAAGGGCTTTACTCTCAGCCATATGATTGATTGTTTATAGTGTACTCAGGTCAGTCTGATCCGCACCATATTCAGTATATTTTTTTTTCCTTTGCAGAATATAAGTAGTGTTCTTGCAGTTTTATTATAGTTATAGTTTGTGAAAATTTTTGTTTTAATTTGTGAAAATATTTTCAATGAAAAACTACATTTTGACCTTTGTCATGTTATGAACCACATTGGTGAAGTTAAAATCCTTCTAAGAGGTAATAAGAAGCTAATAATTGTGGGAAATGGAAGTAGTGTTGCATTTTTTTCATCAAAAATAGACAAAGAAAATATGCAATTAAGTAAAAGAGACTGTAGAAACTGCACCATTAGGACGTGTACAAATTGTGCATTATATGCATCATTCTGGATAACAAAAAGAACTAACCTTTTGTTCGTTATGTTGTAGACAACAACCTGAACAACATTGAAATCGAGAGCCTGAAGAGGGGTTGGAAAATTACCAATCCGAAATGCATTGTTAAATAGGCGAAATAAAGTGGACTGTTTTAATCTTGGTCTCTGTTAATTGCGGATAATTAAGAATGACGTGATAAATACCACTAGTCTATTATAAAAAGTTATAAGTAAAAGTTTTTTCTTCTATTTTTAATTATAATCGAATGGCAAAAAACTTAATTTTGGGGGTAGTGAGGAGTTTTAAAAAAATTGTAAATGTTAATAACGAATAACATCTTCACATCAAGTCTCGAGATATGACACATGACAATCTCTGTCTCCCCACCCCTTTGATATTAAGGAGCTATGATACTATTAAATAATAAGGATCATTGATGATCCTTATACACAAGCTATCATGCCAAATTCCGTTTCTTATAGACGTCAACAGACATACATGGAATATTTTTAAAATACTTTTTTGGGTTCTGGTGGTCTCAAAATGTGGAGATTTACAAAAACTTTGAGGGTTAAATTTAACACGATTCCAACGCTTTCCCTTATGTATGTATGTATATCAGCCGGGAAAGTATGAATTTAACTTATCGCAACAGATAAAGAATAAAAATTACTTAATTGCGGATTGAATGTCTGCAAAAGTAAAATGCAAATTTAATAATAATTTATAACAACTTTCTATTTGGATTTATATAAATTTGATTGTAAAAAATATATTTTCTAAATTCATTATAATTTATTTTATTAAAATAAATTATATTGTATTGTATATATTAGAAATAAATATTGTAATAAATAATAAATTCTTTATTAAAGGGCATTTAGATAAATTATTTTTCGTTTTATTGTGTGTATTAGGGCTGCAATGTTGTATGATCTGAATGTTAGGAATGAAAAAAAAATCTCAGGTATAAAGCATGTAGCAGAAATGATTTACTCAGGTGACAGGATTAGGAATGAGCATATAAGAGATATTTTAGGAGTAAGGAACATTAGAGAGAAGCTTATGAACTAACAAGTAAGAAGTAGAGATAGGTTAAAGAAAAGTTGGAAATTAGCAATTAGGAGATTTAAAAGTGGTTACAGTTAAATGAGAAAATAGCTCAAAATAGAATAGTTTGGAAGACAACACGTCAAGATCCGACCCCTACTGTAAGAGAGACGACGTTGGTGATAATGTATTCATAATTTAACAATAATTTTAGCGCTAAGTTATATGTACAGTACAGTATGTTAAAGATTTTTTTTAAATGTGAAAATGATTATAATTATAAAGAACCAGAAAAATAAGAAATTTAATCTTACTTTGCAGTCTAAAATGGAGTTACTTAATATTCTATAAAATAATAGCAAATGAATGAATAACTGTTCATGTTGTTAATAATAATAACTATAAAATAACAGAAATCTATATATGATATTCATTCGAGTACATAATAATTGACTATTATAGAAATCAATACTAAATTCTGTTTGTTTATTATGTATTACAATTAATTTATAAAGTTTCAAACTAACTTAATAGTTTATAATAAAAGAGACTTCACTATAAAACAAATTTTTAAAACTTATTGATATAGTCTATAGCTTCCTATAACATTACAAATATTTTATAGAATTTCCATGATATAAAATTTTTGTCTCACTATAAGGATTATAAATACAGTATTAGAATTTATTAATTATCAAGTAACTTCTCTAAAAAGATAAATTCAACTTTTCAATTAGAAAGATTGAGTATTAATTTATATATAATTTAATAGTAAATAATTGAACTATACATCAAACGATTCAGATTAAAGTACAGTAAAACCTATGTAAACTGGATTGTATGGTACCAAATTTTTCCCCATTCTCGCAGGTTTCTGTTTTAGACAGGTTTTACTGTGTTTAAATTTTCCCCAACGTCCAACTTTTATTTACGTTTAAACAAGAAAATATAAATTTAAATTCATAATTCTTAATACTTTTATCAATTAGAAAGGAGATTGAGTATTAATTGATATATAATTTAATAGTATATAATTGAATTATACATCAAACGATTCAGATTAAATTACAGTAAAACCTACGTAAACCGGAATCGTATGGTACCGAATTTTTCCCCGTTCTCGCAGACTTCCGTTTTAGACAGGTTTTACTGTGTTTAAATTTTCCCCAACTTCCAACTTTTAGGAGTAATAGGACAAAATAAAAAGTAATTCATACATTTTTCAATTAATACAAATTATTTAATTTTATTTGCAACTCTATTAGATAAGTTGTTTAAATCATTGCTTTTTAAAAATGTTTTGAATATCTGAGAGAAAAAAAAAAACTTATTGCAAATTGCAAATTAATCCAATTAATGCAAATTATTAAATTGCAAATTAATCCAAGTTTAAGTAAATGATTATGCCAAAACCAATTATTTTATGAATATTATAAACTAAAGAATCTATTTAAAAGTTATTATATACTTGAGATTAAGCATTAAATTTGATAATTTTCTTATCTATCTCTTAATAAATAAGAAAGAAATTTTTATACTCGGCATCAAAAGTTGAGAAACTTAAATCATTTCTGGATCGAATCGACAATTATTTTTTCTAGCATTCAAAATTGTAAATTTTCAATCTCCTGTAAATTTGTTTAATGCTATTTTTTACAAATTATTTTATTTCTACTCAAAATATACCTATTTAAAATTTCGATCTCTGGTCGTAAATCGAATGAAAGAGAAATCTGCATTTTCTTTTTCATTCGATTTACTTGAAAAGTGTTATAACGTTTTTTTTATCTCCATATACAAAAATACCATATAATTATCTAATTTAATGGTATTTTTGTATACAGTTTTAAATGGAGATTTTATTTAAAACTAATTGAAATGTATTTTAAGATCTTCTTCAGTAAATGTTTCACTTTAACATTGAATAGGAATCGACCACCAAATTACATTCGAATTAATTTTAATTTCCGTTTATAACTCCTCTTTGTGTTCTTTTGAAACAGGAATTAAATCCGAAAAAGAAAGAAAGATTATCTCGAGAAACATCCTGTTTTTTTATACTTTGAAATTTTATATATAATTTCTCTAGAATATATATATTTTTTCCAGATTAATTTCAAAAAATTCCATATATTTAAATAATATTTACCGTAGACGAAATGCGAAGTGATGATAGACAGACCCACGAGATAAACTGTCAGCTTCCAATCATCGATGGTCTTCATACTTGAACACAGAATAAGAACTGATGCTCTTTAATTTCATCGCCGGCGGAACGGTCGACGACCTAATACTAATGTCGAACAAGTTAGAAATTGACCTAATTCACGTGAGCATCAGGTCATAAAAGTAGGTCTTCTCTCGAAAATGTTTCAATATCCATAAAATAACATTGAAGAATTAAGCAAATTTCAGAAAATACGCAAATTAGTCTACTCAGACGATACAATGATATATTGATAAATTGTTCAAATCAGTACAAGATCACTTGTTAACTTTGTAACTTTATGGTAAAACTAATATAAAATTTTCATTCCGTGCATCTAAGCAGATCGCCAGTAATTCTGAAAATAAATTTATCTAATTTTATCTCGAAAATGTTGGGATGCATTCATAAACAATTTTTCAAGTTCTCATTTATTTTTATTATTAGGTCGCATTATAGATCTTTAAACTTGAAGCAAATCTTAAAATATAAAAATAATTTTGTTATATACAGCCTATATTCTAATATAACTAAGTTTATTATAATTTACGTTTAAACAATTTAAACAAGAAAATATAAATTTAATTAAATTCACAATTATTAATACTTTTATAAATTTGCAACAACTTAAATTTCCACAAAAAATGTAATTTTTTTTGTGAATTTTAGTCAAAAAATTAAAAAAAAAAATTTAATGAAATTTTACCTTGTTAAAATGCTAATAAAAAATTTATCAATTTGTTGANTAAAGTTTTTTTTTATCTCCATATACAAAAATACCATATAATTATCTAATTTAATGGTATTTTTGTATACAGTTTTAAATGGAGATTTTATTTAAAACTAATTGAAATGTATTTTAAGATCTTCTTCAGTAAATGTTTCACTTTAACATTGAATAGGAATCGACCACCAAATTACATTCGAATTAATTTTAATTTCCGTTTATAACTCCTCTTTGTGTTCTTTTGAAACAGGAATTAAATCCGAAAAAGAAAGAAAGATTATCTCGAGAAACATCCTGTTTTTTTATACTTTGAAATTTTATATATAATTTCTCTAGAATATATATATTTTTTCCAGATTAATTTCAAAAAATTCCATATATTTAAATAATATTTACCGTAGACGAAATGCGAAGTGATGATAGACAGACCCACGAGATAAACTGTCAGCTTCCAATCATCGATGGTCTTCATACTTGAACACAGAATAAGAACTGATGCTCTTTAATTTCATCGCCGGCGGAACGGTCGACGACCTAATACTAATGTCGAACAAGTTAGAAATTGACCTAATTCACGTGAGCATCAGGTCATAAAAGTAGGTCTTCTCTCGAAAATGTTTCAATATCCATAAAATAACATTGAAGAATTAAGCAAATTTCAGAAAATACGCAAATTAGTCTACTCAGACGATACAATGATATATTGATAAATTGTTCAAATCAGTACAAGATCACTTGTTAACTTTGTAACTTTATGGTAAAACTAATATAAAATTTTCATTCCGTGCATCTAAGCAGATCGCCAGTAATTCTGAAAATAAATTTATCTAATTTTATCTCGAAAATGTTGGGATGCATTCATAAACAATTTTTCAAGTTCTCATTTATTTTTATTATTAGGTCGCATTATAGATCTTTAAACTTGAAGCAAATCTTAAAATATAAAAATAATTTTGTTATATACAGCCTATATTCTAATATAACTAAGTTTATTATAATTTACGTTTAAACAATTTAAACAAGAAAATATAAATTTAATTAAATTCACAATTATTAATACTTTTATAAATTTGCAACAACTTAAATTTCCACAAAAAATGTAATTTTTTTTGTGAATTTTAGTCAAAAAATTAAAAAAAAAAATTTAATGAAATTTTACCTTGTTAAAATGCTAATAAAAAATTTATCAATTTGTTGAAAATTAATATTTATAACAGCCTCGAGCAGTTTAATAAACGATTATTAAAATCAATGCAAAGCTCTATTAAGAAAATACAGTATAAAATAGTTTAATTATGGCTTATCATCATGTAATGATAACCATTCATGTAGAGGATGATCAAAAAGTCATTGTACATCTACAGATAAGTAAAGATGAAAAGGTATTTCAGTCGCTATTGTTACAGAATATGTTGGAAATGGCCCTCATGTAATTTATAAACAGCATTTACATGTTTGCAAACATCCTTTACAGATCAATAGAAGTAATGTGAAGGATTCCTAATTCAGAGAGTATGTGCTGATTGCTTTATAAATTGCATCTTATAGATAATACTCAGACTCTGAGTATGTCAAGTTTAGTCGTTAATGTAAAATTAATACCAGAAAATTGCCAATTTTTATTAATCTTTGTATTATCTGACTGATCTCTCTGTGCCTAAACTTTTTAAAAAATCAATCAAGTCATTATTAAAATGATTCAACTTGTTTTGAAATCTCCATGTATTGTAATAGAATCCATAATTACCATTTATGAAACTTATGTATTACAGATAAATTGTAGTTTCAAAATATTTGAGATGCATTGTGTTTACTGTTTACTATTGTTTAAAATTTTCCTAAAAGAATCATCTTTCAAAAATAAAAAAAAAACACCTGTAATATTAGGTCTCCATTCAGAAACAATACACAGTATTATCTTTCAAAGCAAATTAATAATAGCAAGAAAATATCAGATCCTGATATACAGGGTGCAACGCCAAAATCCGGACAAATTACACATTTTTTTCCAAACATATTTTTTATTGCGAAAAGCGAAAAGGTTTACAATTTTTTTTAAACCACATTATTTGTAAGGCCATAAAGAATACATTTACTCAATATATCACCCCTCCTGCTTGAATGACCACCTCCATTCTTGGTCTGAAGTGTGCACAGGTGCACTTTAATGTGTCACAGTCCATATCAGCAAATGCTGCATCAATAGTGGCTCTCAATGATGTGACGTTTGGATGTCTGGACTTATTCGTGACCCTTTCAACTACGCTCCATACACAGAAGTCCAAAGGATTCAAATCTGGGCTGTTGGGAGCCCAGAATTCTTTCCACCAAAACATGTCAACGTTGTCCAACCAGGGCCGCCGTAAGCGGGCGTGCAAGGCGTGCACCTCACGCGGGCGGCACGTCCAGGGGGCGGCAAAGAGCCTTTCTGGCAAGCTCAGCATAGGTAATCGTAGTTAAACAGGGGGGCGGCATAATCGGTATTGTACATGGGCGCTGGATTGCTAAGCTTTGGCTGCTAGAAGTTTTGCTCTGTTTATATTTATGATTTGTGCGGAAATGATGTTGCAGTATATAAGTGTTATATATTTCTAAAAACCGCTTGGAATAAGGATTCTTTCGGTGTTACTTTTATAGAAATTGAACAATTATATAGAACAACTTGAACTTTTGGAAAATTTGGATTAATTTTCCGGAGCATTACTGACCGATCATCCGGATTGATATACTGTATCTTTATCGCATCAGACCTGTGAGTAAGATTCTCGAATCTTATCGGTTTTGGATTAATAGTTTTCGAAATATCGAATACTTCTAATAACTATTTGTCAGTTAATTGTGGACTTCCGGTTTAAATCTCATGAATAAGGTTTTGACATTTTTTAGACAAATGTGTGCTTTCCACCAAGTTTTATTAGGTTTGGCCCAGCCAAATTTGAATTATGAGCGTTCTACTAAATTCTCCATCTTATTTAATTGATGTTCTAGGCATTGTCATAGTAACGGTCTAGTAGCTAGAGAAATATGTCTGGCACAGGAAACGCGTCTATTTCTGCTGTCCGCTCTGCAGCTTATGAGGTGATTTCTGACCTCAAGGAGTATATCGCTGAAAATGCTAATGCAAAGTTCTCTACAACTAGACATACTGACTATATCTTGGATTGTATTAATCGTGTTATTAATATATACGAACAAAGTTCTGTAATTAATATGCTACGTGATATCTCAGGGAAAATTGGCACTATTTGTGATGTCAATGAGAAACATGAAAGTATTTTAGCTAAACAGGATGAGGTTCTTGATCGTTTAAAAGCTCTCGATGCTCATAATAATGAAACAAACAAACCAATTATTCATACTACCCCTAAGCTGTATAGTACAGCGCTTATGGCTGGGATTAATTTCCATAATAATTCCCAAAATATGCGGAAGCGTGTACCTTCTGCAAAAAACGTACTCTTGATTTATGATTCCAGTGATAACAACAGCAGTGATAACGTTCGTAAGATTCTTAAAGAGCGAGTGAATCCGTCAAAGATAAAAATTGGCGTTGATAGAGTCCGCAAAATTGGTAATGGAGGTATAGCGGTGGAATTGGAAAAGAATGAGGATATTGCCGTCCTGGACAAATTTGTTAAAGAGCATATTCCTGAGGTTTACACTAGGCAACCAAAAAAGAGAAAACCTCATTTAATGATATTTTCCATACCTAAGCATGTCACTACTGAGGAATTGCTCTCCAATCTTTACCATCAAAACGAATCATTTCATTCCTTGTATTCTGAGGAGGACTTTAGTAAAGAACTTCGATTTAAGTTCAGAACAAAGAAAAAAGGTGGAGATTTTCAGAATTGGGTCATAGAAGTTTCCCCATCAATTCGTAGGCTTGTGCTACATTTGGGTAAATTAAACATTGGCTGGTCACGCTGCAGGACTGTTGACTTTTGTCCAGTCCTGCAGTGTTTTAAATGCTGCCGTTTTGGACATTCATCAAGAGAATGCTCAGAAGATAAAATGACTTGTAGTCATTGCACAGGGAATCACATGTTTAAAGATTGCCCTAATACTGGAGAGTTACCTGTATGCATCAATTGTAGTCATAATCACATGGAAAACCATTCGCACAACGCAAGAGACTCTTCATGTATAGTGTATCAACGTGTCAAGGCAAATTTAATTAGTAGGACTGATTATGGGTCAGAATCATAGAAATGGCATTTCTGTTATGCAAATTAATCTTCATAGGAGTATTGCTGCAAGTTCTCTTTTAGCTAGCGAAATCCATAATTATGATTTAGTTCTAGTTCAAGAACCTTATTGCATACGAGATCAGCCTGCTTCCATCCCCGCTTATTGCTCTGTTATAAAAGGCACTAATTCCACTCCATGGGCGGTGACTATTGTTCCACATAATAATATACCTATTCTTCATTTGGCTTCTTATAGCTCTGAACATATGGTTTGCATTGAGACGTATATTGGTTATACGAAATACATTATTATTAATATTTACTGCCCAAGGCCTCAGAACATTAATGTAATTCTTACTGATCTCCAACAGATTATTGAATCCTACCCCTCTTGTAATTTTATCATTGCTGGAGATATAAATTCTCATTCCCCAGCATGGGGTGGTGACACTCTAGATGGTAGAGGTAAAGCGTTTGAAGAGTTTCTTGCTTTGAATTGTTTGCTTATTGTAAACGATCCTAACTCTCCTCCTACTTTCAACAATGATAGATATTTCTCTTGGGTGGACATTACTATTTGCTCCAGTTGTTGTTTCTCCTCTATTGCTGATTGGCAGGTGTTGAACACGCATAATTTTTCTGATCATGAATATATTACTTTTACTGTCCGTAATCGTACTGATTGCTCACCCTTGGCCTATAGGGCACGATTTAATCCCTCTCGTGCCAATTGGACTGAAATTGCTGAATATCTTTACTCCGTTGTTGATCTTCCTGATTGTAAAACCAGAGAGGAGGCTGTGATTGCTATTGATCACTGCATTAGGCACATTAACTCAGCTTGTGATATTTACATTCCTAAGACAATTCCCAAGCGTAAGCTAGTTCCTTGGTGGAATGAAGAACTTTCTACATTACGCAAAATTAATAATCACTTACGCCGAAAATACAAACGTTGTCACAATCCTACAGTAAGAGAAAGGAGGCGTGAAGAATACTTACAACACCAGCGTATTTATAAAGATCGTATTCTCAATACTAAATTGCAGTCTTGGAAGGTTTTTTGTTCTAGCGCTTCGAATATCCCTTGGGGTTATCTTACTAAAATGTGTACAGGAAAACTAAAGAAGAATACTATCCTTACGTCTTTTAACACTAATTCTACTACTTCTACATCCCTATATGATACTGTTGAAAAATTATTAGATACTTTTTGTGTAGATGATTCCGAGGCGGACGATTCTGCATGGCATCAGGATTTGCGTGCTGCTAGATCCCTTCCATACTTTTCTGCTAACTCCCCTTTCTTTACATATAATGAAGTAGATAAAGCTTTCCGTGATTTAAAAATAGGCAGAGCGCCTGGCATTGATGGCCTGACAGCGAATATTGCAAAAATGCTCTGGAATATTATACCTCTCCTATTATTTAGACTTTATAACATGTGTTTGCAGTTCGGGGTTTTCCCTGAGTTGTGGAAAATGGCGCGAATAATCCGTATACCAAAATCATCTTCCTCTAATGATACTTAAGATATATTAATTATATACAGAATTTTTAAAATTTCAGAACAGAATTTACTTACCCTTCATACTTTTTGAATTGCANGCAGGCCCAAGGATCCCTGGTTGGATGGGAGGAAGCGGAAGTCGTGAGGCAAGTACACTCACCAACTTTGGCGAGGACGGCCGAAAAAATGGAGATATACAGGAGCAAACTTAAAGACGGATGCATTAATGCTAGGGATGCGGAAGGTCTTCCCTCGGCTTGGAAATTTGCCGTTAAAAAGCTTACAAGTAGCGCATCATCTGAAATATGATATTTAATTGATTTAAAGGAAACTTAGTATTAATGTTTAGTCGTTGTAGTATATTATTTATTATTTGGTATCGTTTACAATTTATTTTTATTCTTATTAATTGATATGTTATCAGTTTATTGATATTTTTGAATTTTTGAACTTATTGTTCCATTTATGATGTATTCCATTTTTGTATGTTCTAACCTGATGATGATCCATTAAGTGGATCGAAAACGTTCGTTTTTAATAAAACTCCCTCAGCAAACAATAAGGTGTTGGTTACGTTATTTGTTTATTTTTGCTGGGTACGATTGTATTCAATATTTATGTAGTAGCTTGAGAAATTACTATATCTCCAAATTTATTATTATTTATAATTTATAGTTGTGTCTGAAGCTATCTGGAAACTAATTACAAGATTATCATCTGGTAAATCATTTTTACTGTCAACACTACCATTATCTTATTCCAAAAACAATGCCATGTATGCAGGAAGAAATTCAACCAGGTCATGAGAAAGACAAAACCTTTCACACTTTGTTTCTAGCAGTTTTAATCCATAAGAACAAACATTTGTTCTAATGGATTAAAACTGCTAAAAACAAAGTGTGAAAGGTTTTGTCTTTCTTATTTTTAGCTTTCTAGCTTTGCATGCATGGAAGTTCAACCAGGTCATCAAATATCTGTATTAAATAATAAACATTTTATGAAAATGAAAACAAAAATATATACATCCAATACTATTTTTATACAGACTTTTTTATGTGATCTGAAAAAAAATCAGTTCACTTTTAACACAATTTAATTTAATCTAGCATGTTTCAATAAATTTGTCTTTCAAAAAATCTTCACTTAATTTTAATTCTAAAAAAACTATTTATACTTCCTTTTAAAAAAATATTGCTCTTAAAAATTTCCTAGAATTTTCATTAAAAAAAACTGTCCTATGGGCATTAACAGAGCTTTTTTTGTACCCATTATGAATTCAGATAGGCCTACAATGGGGTGACCAAATGGTGAGGAACATGGTTGACTGGACTGGGATGGGATGGGATTGACTAGAGAACTTACACATTGTCAGATCTCTGATTATATAGGTTAAATCCTATTGACTGACTGCTGACCTTGGTTATACGGATATCCTTACTTAATGTGGTTTTGCTTAACATGCAAAATTAATTGCAGCAGTCTCTTTATATAGGCAGCAGAAGTTTTAATTAACATAGCTTTACCAGCTGTCTTTACTTAAACAGATACCATATTTGATTAACACAATTTTGATACACACGGTAGCATTGAGGGATTAATTAACCACGTTAATAAAGGGATACCTATAGAACTGAAATTATAACAGCTTCCAATCCCAAATTCTTATACAAATCAAAGAAAACTAACTGAACATCACTTGCAGAATTGGTTACTAAATGGAATATAGTCACTGGTAAATAAAAACCATATAAATCTTTTCATCATAACTGCCTTAACTGTACTGTACAACAAAGTTCCCAGCATTCATTACAGTACAGGGTTGCATGAGTGCTCAAGAAAGGTGTCAGTGCTCTGCACTTTATCAATGGAACAGTGAATGAAGAATATCAAAAGATCCTTCAAGACAACATTCTTTTATACTTGGAAAAACTGCAGAATCCAGATATAATTTTTTAACAAGATGGAGAAGTTGTCATTCTGCTAAAACTAGGGCATGGCTTACAAATTACAATATTAGTGTTGAGTTAGCCACCTAGCAATCCTTTCTTCTATTGAAAATCTATGGGGAGCATGAAAATGTTCTATAGAAAAGATCTCAAAGGACAGTGACTGGATTAGGCCAAAAAGTCCAGGAAATATGAATGAACATTAGGCTTTATTAATACAATGTGTGAACATGTAAATGCAATCTTACTGGCAAAAGTAATGTAACCAGATACTAATTACTAGTGCAAGAGGTATTTTCCATCAATGCTAGAGATGTCTTTAGTTTTTATTTTTTCGGTCATTTATGCTTCCTTCAGATATTTATTTCTAAAAATTCAAATGCTTGCATAAATTTTAAATTGTGCTATTTATGCTCCCAAATGTCACAGTTTAACTCAGTCAATGAATTTGTTTACAAAAAATTTTTTCTCCTCTTTCCTTTTACTGTGTTCAAAATACAACAGTTTAAAATCAAGAAGTGTCTAAGATATTTTTTAAATAAATTGTACAACTTAAAAAATTTCTAACAGAATAATGTGACCAGTCTAATTTGTGAAAAATTGTGTAAGAAATCCATTGGTTAAATTTTGAGATTTCTTTATTCATTTTGAAGTTATCATATGTTAAATGTTCCACAGGATGCTTTCATGTGCATTTTCTTTCACTTTTTTTTAAATCAATGCAACCTGCAATGTTACAATGATGAATGCCATTGCTTTTGACAAAGAAAAGAATCAACACCATTCTTTATGCACTGTAGATAAACTTACAAAAAATTGGTGTAATCTTCAACCATCACTCAAAATCATTAGTGGCTGATGGTTAAAAACCACTGACAGTGGTCCCATGCCTAATCCACAAGCTGGCTGAACAGTTTTTTTTTCATATTTTTAACACCTAAATAGGGGTGTTCCCCCATAGAAAGTCCTCTCAGAATGCATTCACATGGTGATTGTCCTTGTGTTGTATTGCCTTATTACACCATACAACAATCTATCACCTGCAATACAGTGGCAAAACTTGTTAAGAACTTTCAAGAAACAGAAAATATTCACAGGGAAAAAGAAGCAGGATTCAGAGATAGCAAAGCCATCACTATAACACTGAATGACAAAAATACTTTGATAACAGCATGCACATAGAATCATTCTATGGAACATGATTTATTTTGAAAGTATCACACATTGAAAGAGATTTCAAAACAGATTTACTATTAAATTTCACAATTTTTCTACAGTTAGACTGGCCACATCATCTATTTAATATCAAAATTTTTAAGTTGTATTCAAGATGACAGTTTTCAATATGGCTTTAAGATTAAGCAATATATATACCCAGGTACACCTATTAGTCTAATATATACTATAATGAAGAAGATTAGATTCATCTAACATTAAGTTTCTTAAAGATATTTTTAGATAATTCCTGATTTTAGAATTACTCCATGAATCATGAATATTTTTCTGAAATATGTATTTAAGTTTTAATCTTTCAGTCTCTCTCTCTATATATATATTTTCAATTTTAATGTATTTAATCTACTTTTGCAGGAAAAATTAATAAACATGAATGATAATGGTAAAAACTTTGTTCTTTACATAACTAATCATCTACTGATTTGAACATCAATTGCATTCTAGAACAACAGTTTTCAGATNGATTTTAGAATTACTCCATGAATTATGAATATTTTTCTGAAATATGTATTTAAGTTTTAATCTTTCAGTCTCTCTCTCTCTCTCTATATATATATATATATAGACTGGCTTTTTTATATTCATGAAGAAGTTAATATTGATTGATTTTGGATAAGACATTTTTAATGTCTTATTATGTTCATTTCATATATTTTTGAGAAAGATTAAAAGTTAAATTTTAATAAATGACTTAAATAAATTATTCAAATTTACTTATATATATACATATATAAAGGTTTTTATTTTCTTCAAAAAGGAAGGATTTGACAAATGAAATAAACCATGATGTGTTGCTCTGTAAACAAAGTTTTTTTATTCTATTAGTTTTAAAGTTACATCACCAAAATAACACTTTTGAAATGTAATCAACACTCTCATCTGTAAACAAAAAAACAACATTTAAAGTTTATTCTTCACTATATCAATTATTTTTTATTATTTATCTCTTCCCACTTCACAATATATTACGCCATATTTTTTCCCTCATGTCTCATGTCGATGACAGTGCGATGTGCGGCAAAAGTTTTTTTAAATTGAAAAAGAGGTTTCTCTCTTATATATATATAAAGTAATATTTGAATAATTTCTTTCAAATTCATAGTGTCGTGACTTTAAAGTTTTATATTCACAGTAGGCCTATTTATTTTTGCAATGTAAAATTAATATAATGTAAATCACAATGCAAAATATGAAGCATACACTTTTGGATTTACATAAAGTTTTGATTTATGAGATAGTGTTATAAAGTGTGGTCCAAATCCAGACCACTACATGAAAATTGTCCAGACCACCAACAAACTGCAAGTTTCCATACCCATCCTGTTTTTTCATCTGGTTTTCTCCCATATTAATTATCCAAAACAAGTACAGCAACTGCCTAACTCAAATGTTATTTGGAACAATGCATCCAATTTATGACATTATACACACCTGATTTCACAGCAATAGTTAGAGAAAGGAAGTGCAAATCTCTCTCATTAATTGTGAAAATTAGTTTAACTTATTAAACAAATAATATAGCATATGATACTTTGTATACCCAAATAGAGACAACAGCATGACCAAAAACTTCCTCTCACTTCTGCCTACCAGTTTAATAATTGAGAGTGCATAATTCATATCAGCAGTATATTTGCCAATTCTATAATTGAACCTTGCTACAAATTAGTTGAGTAGAGTTGATGTAAAGACTGACTGACAGAAATTAAAACTGATCAGCAACATGTACAGTAGAGCCTCGATTATCCGACCCCCAATTAACCAACACCTTGGTTAACCGACTGTCCTAGTCAGCAAATTTCAAATGTCCGCTAGTGATGTGGCGCTACAATATTTGGCTATGTCTTGGCTACTTTAATATTATTTTTATGTNACTGCAAGTTTCCATACCATCCTGTTTTTTCATCTGGCTTTCTCCCATATTAATTATCCAAAACAAGTACAGGAACTGCCTAACTCAAATGTTATTTAGAACAATGCATCCAAATTATGACATTATGTACAACTGATTTCACAGCAATAGTTAGGAAATGCAAATTTCTCTCATTAATTGTGAAAATTAGTTTGAATTAATAAACAAATAATATAGCATATGATACTTTGTATACCCAAATAAAGACAACAGCATGACCAACAACTTCCTCTCACTTCTGCCTACCAGTTTAATAACTGAGAGTACATAATCCAGATCAGCAGTATATCTGCCAGTTCTATAATTGGACCTTACTACAAATTAGTTAAGTAGAGTTGATGTAAAGACTGACTGACAGTAATTAAAACTGATCAGTAACATATACTTAATGTTATTCTATATTGATATGTTCTACCAAATCACACCATTACTATTTTTCACAATGTTTACAAGGAATATAAAATATAATAAAAAATATCATAGAACTATAATCATATTTTATCAATATATGATTACTTGTTACACAACTAAAAAAAAGTGGACATTTTTAACTGGTTTCAATATTTTACTGAGGCATTGCATCTAATAAAAGGTTCTCTCTGAATGGAAAATTTTTTGGGGTTCTGAAGATTGTGAGTGACACATTTATTAAGATACTTTTTGTTTCTTCAATATAATTTTAACATGTAAATACTATCAACCATTTTTAATCAACTGTTTGCATTCTCAAATAAAGTTAACTTTTTTTAATCTATTATGAACAAACTAAACATTTATAATAATAAATAAAATCTAAAGTAACTTAAAATTAATGTAGGTTAATAAAAAAGTTTTAGTGCATAATGTTGATTAGCTTTCAAAAGGAGGCATCCATCTATAAAGTCCCAATTTGACTTGAATATCTCTTATAATAATGAAATAAGTCAGATGAAAATTATTGTAATCTAATAAAATCTGTAAAAGAAATACTTACACAAATTTATAAGGAGTGTCTCGAAGTCTAGTTGAATCAAATGGCTCATCATTATATTCTAAGTAGAAATTATAGTGGACGGTAACGAATGCTTTATTTGGCAATTCTATTCCAAATCCTGTCTTTAATTCCTAAATAATAGCATCATAATTTTAGTTTATGAAAAAAATTTTAAAATTTTGACAAAAATATTTTTTGAATACAACAGTAATTGAAATGGTCTAAACATTTGCATGTTGAATTTTCTATACTGCCAAGAATATATACAAAACTATTTTAAAATACTATATTTACATGAATGTAAGATGCACTTATTTCAAGTTTTAGCATCTATTAAAATATCATATGTCTTAGATTCAATGTATTAGATCATAATTAGCATCCTCTAGTGCCATGTGTCTTATTTCTCTGTCACTAACTCCATTGTATCACTTTAATAATTTTATTATACAAATATTCATAATACTAAATATCTGAGGTCAACTTAGCTTAATCTCATTAGTCTATTACAGTAGCATCATGTATAGTTGGATGAAAATTCCAAAAGTTATGCAGCACTCTTAAGAAATTTAAATCATCAGAAATGCAACATGACACTAAGAATAACTGCACATGAAAAGATGCAAGTATCAAATCCAGTGCGGATTCAAAACAGCCTAAAAGAGTGAAGAGCTTATGACTTTGATGATATGGAAGACAGCGACATATGACTTATTTTTGCTGTGAAATATATATTCAACAAATTTATATCAATAGAGTCAGTTCTATTGACAAACTTGTCTAGAGTTGTATATTTTTCAAAAAATTTTTGGGTGCATGTATAAAAATTAAAGTGCATGTTAGATTCAAGTAAATATAGTAAGTTATAAATATTACTATAACAACAGAATAGAATATGGATGGCAAACTTTTTCGAGTTTGCATGCCATATAATGAGTATAATTATCTTTTAAAATGTTTGTGTTTGTCAAAGGTTTAGGTTTCGAATAACAAATGTACAAATAAAACATAAATGCTTTAATTAGAATATTATGTAAAAAAGCTGATTGATAAGACATGATAAACCAAAATTGCGTGATGTGTTACATGCCGGATGACTTCTCCTGCATGCCACAGATTTGCCACCTGCAGAATAGAATACAGTATATATATTACATTTCATTTCTGGCTCTGTTATATATAACAGAGGAAAAGTATGACGATCAGTCGAAAAGTGAACCCTAAAGATTTTTACATTTTTGGACTCAGGGAACCTTGAAATGTCAAGAAATGCAAAACATTTGGGGATTTTTCCATTTGTATGCATTTGTGTGTGTGCATGTGCATGCATGCAGAGCACAATTTTGTTTCCCACATTAAAGCTTAATAACCCATGCTTTTTGTTGGAATTTTCTGAAATTTTTCAGGGAGGTTTGTGTATTGGGGGTTGATGCTATTAAATTTAGATTGATAAAGGTCAAGAGGATAGGGAGATATAGGGGGTCGTGTGTCATACCTCAAGGTGGTCAGACATAATGAAGATTTTACTCATTATTTGCATTTACAATTTCTTTTATAAAACTGCCACTACTCTCAAAATGAAGCTTTTTGCCATTTTATAATTATTAATTATATTAAATGTTGTTGCCAGGTAAGTTAAGCAACTCATTGCTGGATTTTATATTAATAGAAACAAAATGAGTAAATCCTTGCTTGAAAGACAGTGAGTTGCTTTATCAGCATTTCAAACAATGCTCCATGATCTACATTTGCAATTATGTTTCATAATCATTTATCTATACTTGACTTGAAATTTTGAATTACACCTTGACCCAAAGGTTGAGTTAAGTGATATTTGGTGGTAGAAATATAATCTCCATATTTATGTCTGGATGTGATGCAGTATTGTCAACAAACAAAAGCACTTTCTTGTTTTGGTGCATTTTCCTGTTCAGTTATTCCAGCCACTTTGTCATAATTTCTATCATCATCTAGGACTTTGTTTAATTCTCAATTTCAAATTTTGTAATGTCTATATTCTTGAAAAAAACTTTGTTTGGTAGCCTTTCTAATTAGCAGGGATTGTGCATAACAGAACTATTATAGCTTAATCGTTCTTTTGCTATCAAACCATATTTCATTCTTGAAGCACAAACTTTTGCCCAGGAGAGCACAGAACTGTTGTTCTGTGGCTTTGATCATAATACAGTAGCACATTGAGAAGCTAAGGTTGCTTTTGTTATCACTGGTTATTTATCTAAAAATATTTTGAACAACAGTTCTGTTTTAACAGAACTGTTGTTCAAAATATTTTCAGATAAACCTTAGCTTCTCAATGTGCTACTGTATTATAATCAAAGCCAAGACAACTCTCACAAACAACTTTAATTTGATAGTATGTTGCTTTCTTTAATTCTCCTAAAAAAAGGCAAATGCAGTGCATAACCTGATGAAACGAATTTATGATGATATGCATTTCAAATGTCTTTAGCACTACTATCATCCATTTCTATAAATTACACATTAAGACTATAACCTATTATAACTATCTGTTTACATTTAATATTTTTTTTTTACAAACTTTAACATACATATAATCCCTTTTGATGAAATTTCTCATAGGAAGAAGATTAATATCTTACTTTTTCATGTTGTTTGTGTTTTAAATTCACAGTTCAGATAATTCCTAATTATTGTATATCCAAACTGATTAAAAATTTTTAGGTTTTAAAAAATTTTTAAACTCTTCATTGTTGAACTTTCTATAAGATTTTTTTTTACTCTTTTAGGAAGATTTAAAAAATGTTTTTATTAATTTTATTTATGCTAGGTAATCCAATAGTTCAATAAATGTTAACCAGCTTGTAATTAAAATTAAAAAATTTTTTTAAAAAGTAGGCAAATTTATAAAAACAAAAATTAGTGAAATTACTAAACAAAATTAAAAAATAAATTTAAATTTGATTACCTTTTGTGCAAAACAACACTAAAACAATTTCTATAGTGATTGCAAAAGGAAAAAGTTACAATTAATTAAAAAAACGGTAATAAAAGGTTAAAAAAAAATGTTGGCAAAATTAAATATATAATAATTTTTATTTATTTATCATCATAAAAACTAAAACACGATTCATACTAAATAAATTAAACCTAAAAATAATTAAAACTCTGGCCTTTTCACCAAAACCAAAATTAATTAAAATTAAAATCAAATCAATTGAAAATTAAAGCAATGTTTTTGAAAATTGTTTATAAGTTGTTTTCAAATTTTCAAGTTGTAAAACAAATTAATTTTTAAATTTTTTTGTGTGTGGCAGTGACAGAACATTTTGCTTTCAATATACATACAGATTTTATATTTTTTTATTTTTATTTATCTTTTGGCAATTTTAAATCACATTTTTATTTTTGTTGCTAAGACAATTTTGAAATTTTGAAATTATAGTACTGGCCCACCAGTGGTCAAGCAGTCTTCATTCCCTGAACACTGGGAGTTTGGCCTCGCTTGGACGGGCTGGCCAAGTGGAGTTTTCCGGGTTTTCTCCACATCAGTAACACTTAATAGGGCTAATTTCTAAGGATGCACCGATAAGCAAAATGGCCGATTACCGATTAATCGGTCACGCATTATCGGCCGATACCGATTAATTGGCCGATTAGTGTTAATAATTAATTACGGACGGCTGGATGGCCGAGTGGCCAAGGTGGCAGCCCACCGCTCTGGGGGATCCGGGATCGAATCCGGACGGGTCACGGAATCCCCAGTAATTCTTCGGGGGTGGTCCGTTCGGATATGTCGGGTCCCGTCCCTCACCACCCGGTCACCCCATTGTGGGCTTGGCCGAACCGATAATGGGCCTGCCATAAGAGGCCTTCTTAGTGCCCACAGGGCGAAAAGAGTATTAAAAAAAATAGTTAATTATATTATGATTATTATTGCATGTAATTATATATTCTTAATAAAAATATAAAATTTCACATGATAAAAATAACTTTATAACAACTTGTTATAAAAATAATTTTCAATATGAAGCTATTTTTTCTTTTTCAGATGTATTAAATTAAAATGATAAATTATTATTTTGATAAACTTTTAAATTTTAATTAATATCTAAATCCAAACCCCCCATGGCTTCCAGTATTGCTTGGAAATTTTTTAAGAAAGATAAAAACNATTATTTCTTTTTTCAAAGAGTGCTATTCCCACTTTGTAACTATTAAATTTGACAGTTGCAAAGATTTTTATTTTAAGGTTAAGCATAAATAGAATGTTCTTTGATTGAATACAAAACCAAAACCATTTTAAATATTTACAATTTCTGAATTAAATCTTAAAATATAGTTTATAAAAATAAAAGATTCCTTAATAACAACAACAGTAATTTGAAAACTAACCATATAAAATTCTTTGAAGTTTAATAGTTTTTTTGGCTTGATAAAAAATATATATGCATACAACCAAATAAATATTAATCAAAATATTGCTTACTTTTTTAAAAATTTGATTTTCTACAAGTGGTGTCATTGTTTTCATCATCTTTTCAAAAGGAGTTTTAACATCAAAATCATCATTATTATTTTCATCATCATTTTCATTTTGAAAATATAAACATTCTCGATTTAAAGCTTTCAGAAGTTCTTCATTATTGAAATAATTCAAATTATTTTCCTCAGGAACATCATCATCATCATCATCTTTAATACAGAATTCTGTTCCTGAAATTAATTTCCTAAGAGAAAAAAATATATATATATAAATCAAATCTTTTTAATAAACAAATACTTTCACATACAATATACTCATAGAAATGGCATATTCAGAGAGTTTAAATCAAGTAAAAAAATTACTGACTATATATATAGGAATCAAAGTTGCCAATTTTCAGGGGTCGATTTCTCCTCCTCCAAACACCTAAAATAAATAATTTTGAACATCTCATTCAAAAGAAATTTTTTTTATATAGTGTGCAAATTTTTTTTCTATGAAGGGATTGCAAAATGTAAGCAATCGAACTGTGTAAAAATCACCAAAAATGTTGTATTTTCTTCATCCAGCACTGCAAAGGCTACAGAAAAAAAGGTCTACATAGCTCAAATTTTAAACAAGCCTTTCTCATTATCAGTGGGTACTCATGAAACTTCTGGGTCAATACATCAAAGTTCATGGTGTTCCCCATAGGACTATTTTACTTTTATCACTTAATTTCATGCTTATAATGATAAAATTACACTGAAATAAATGATTTTCATTCAAAATGTTATGCAAAATAACAAAGGCCAAATTTATGCAAATTAAAAACTTTTACCAACAGATTATATTGAAAGCATTTGATTGATAGCAGTCACCGATCTCCAACCAAATTGTATGTCATTGTCTTAAGTCTTGATGTAATAACACAATCATTAACCAAAAAAAACACTGATATCCGACTTTTGATTGGGACTAGTGGGACAAAAATATCCGAGATTAAAAAAATTGCACTAAGTAAAAAAATATGACAATTTAGATTACAGTCAAATTTCTTTTTCGAATTTAGGAGTTTTTCTTTGGTAAAGCAAAATGTAGGAAACAATAATACAGGTAAAAACCTTGTGGGTACTGCTTCAAAGCACCAAGCTTATCTTTACCAAAGAAAAATGTCTAAGAAATTTGACTGTAATCTAAATTGTCATATTTTTACTTGGCATAATTTTTTAACATCTTGAATGTTTTTGTTTGGATATATTAATGATTTAAGATTTAAAATCAAAAAATTATTTTGAAAAAATAAATATACTTAGCAGTGGCAGTTTGTGGCATCTAATATGGGGGCACTGTTGCAGGAGGATGCTAGGCATACAACACTAATAACATCATTTTTATTTTGCATAGTTATGATCAGCATTGGTTTTGATTAATTTCCAGTTAATATAAAAGAAATCAGTGGTGGCTGGTAGCATCTGATATGGAGGTGCTCTCACAGGAGGATGCACAATTTGGAACGAGAATTATTTTGATTGGGACTAGTGTTGATAAAAATATTAATTTTAACTGGAAATTAATCAAAACCAATGCTGATCATAACTATGCAAAATAAAAATAGTCTTATATATATATATATAAGACTAAGGAACATTATTATTAAATATAACAAACCATGCTGATTGCAAAGTTTTTGACCAGTTCCATAAACGACAAATGCCATTTCTCAACAAAAACAGAATTTAAACTAATGAAGGACTTCGTAAAAGGACAGAACTGAAATTGTTTTCTCTATTGCTTTTATCTCCTAATCACTTTAAATAATCATTTTATTCACACATGCAAAAGTTTATTTGTAATAAACACATTCAATAACCTTATATAAATCAGGACACATCTTAACTCAACAAAACTTTAGTTGAACTCTAGCCAATGTTTTCAGCCCTTTCAAAAGCTTTCACCAGGCTGTTACTTATGGAACAATCTTTCAAACATAATGAACAATTACTTTTGTGACACTGTCACAATGCCAGGCTACAATTACTAATGTAAAAGAAGTTGTCTGTGTATGTGACTTCCTTCTTTTAACTCCTGCAATTTTTGTCCACTCCAGGTGAAATTTTGTTTTGTTGGCCTTTATGTTACAACAGATAGTAAAACTACTTAATCTGCAGAAATATTAGCAACTCTTCTTGAATTTCTTGAAATCTCTACTCCTCTCAATTCTTCAATCTCTACTTTCTGATAAAAAGTATTCAGTCTTGCTTGACAGGGGAATTTCTAGTTTTTGATGAGACTATGTCTTGTCTCTAAAATCACGCTGCTGTCAATGGCTGCACACCTTAGAGGTATGAAGGAGTACATGTCAGGAGTAGCAATTTGGCACAGAGTATTTGGTGCCCAAATCATGTGCACATAAAATAAACCAAACTTGTAGGTAGTTAGGGGGCCGAGAACTGGGTCAAAAGAAAATACAAAATGCTGAGACTATACAAACAGGCAAGAGTAAAAGATTTGTGCACATGTTGCACATGCTTTCTGAGACATAGTTTCATCCCAAAAATGGCTTTGCCATTTTACTTATTATTATTTAAAAATTATTAAATTATTTTTAATAATTTTTTAAATTTCAAATATGCTCTCCACTTCAAATTAGTAATGTCTTGTCTCTGTACATCTTATTTTTTCTATTAGCAATAGAAATGTGCCAGTCATCTATCTAACTCCTTTCAAGAGAAAATTTTTGAATTGAAATACATGACTTCCAGTTAATACCAGAAGTTCATATATAGTTAATTGGGGGTTCCTGCCCCTAATCTTTCCATATCTGGTTTTGGCTTTTATCTATCTAACTCTGTTCTCAAGATTAAGAAGAAAGGAACAATCGAAAGAGTGGGAATTTATAGGTCTACAATTTTTTCAAATTACAGCCCAATTAGAACTTTGAAATTGTATATCATGCAACAGTGAATCGAACTATGTTTCACAATACCATTGGTTGAAATTAAATTACCTAGAACAATTTCAATAACCATCACATTACTAGTTATTAACAAAATCAATAAGATGAAATCATTCTATAAATTCAACTACTCAAAACTGGATATACATTAATTAATAAACATTGTTTATAAATCATCCTATAATATTGAAGTTGTTCAGATTCACTGTAGTAATTTAGGAATCTTGTAGTGTTCTCCAGGCCTTGGATACATTACCTTCTTCCTTACAGTCCACTGAATTTCCTTATATGTTTTGATTTATAAATCTCTAAAGCTTTAATTAATGTATTTTAGTTGAGTTTCTCCTTTAAAAGGTCTGATAATTCTTGCTTCATCCCATTTTACAGATAACATACCATAAAACAGGAACATTGTCCATGGCATATGTAAAGTATGCTACGGAGGAAGATAGTATACTTAGCAGATGCCTTGGACAATGTTCCTTTTTTTATCGTAGTGATTATCACTAAGTATATGTAATGTCGTCATTATATATATATATATTTCATATTGTCACGTATCGGTGTGTGTTGTAATTTTTTTCCATAAATATGCATCACATCTTGCGGTGTGGTGGTACATGCTCGCAATTGGCCCCTGCGCTCTGACGTGTGTTACCATGTCATGTACATGGCGCGGGATATAAATGGAGGTACCTTTTTTCACCTGGATCGTGTCCGGTCTGCAAGAGAAGAATCGAATTGAAGTGCGAAAGGAAAGAGGAAGGAAGGAACAACCACGTGGAAGTGGAAATCAGCGTACCAAGAGAGAATTACACGGAGGGCTCAACTATCATCATCCATGTAAGAATATTGTATTAGTCCTAACCTAAAAGATCCCTGATTGTCGCGTCGTGTAAGTTATGTTAGATCGTTTTTCTGTTCTCATGTTGGGCTAGAAAGGGTGACGGAATTCCCATCTATAACTAAAAATGTAAATGAACCTCAGAATTACATCGTTCTCTGATTAAATCTGTTTTGTGCCTTATCTTTTTGTGCAGTCCTTATCATTCTTACCCTCACTTTCACACTGTCGTACTTCGGTATGCTACAGCACAACATTATGGTATGCTAATGTTACTTGATTCTATTCATTAATGATCTTGCCATGGCCTCAACATAATGGACTATAATGTACTGTACATCTATGCAATTGCATGATCTATTGCATGAGCTACTGATACCAACATTTATTTATCCTCTTTGTATTTATCCTAAATACAAAATGTTTAGGAATGGCACATAATTTAAACTGTAAAAAAATACCAGGACTGTATAGGATACCACTTAAGGATGATCCAGGCACTCACTAGGTATGCTATGGAGGAATAGCTATATGTAAAATGGGATGAAGCAAGAATTATCAGACCTTTAAGGGAGAAACTCAAACCTAAACTTTAGAGATTTATAAATCAAAACATACAGGAAATTCAATGAACTGTAAGGAAGACAGCAACATATCCAAGACCTGGAGAACACTACAAGATTCCTAAACAACTACAGTGAACCTGAATGACTAATATTATAGGATGATTTTCTTATTTTGTTTCATTTTTGTCTTATGATTTTGTTAATAGTAATATAATGGTTATTGAAATCATTTTATGTAATTTAATTTTGTCAAATGGCAATGTGAAATGGAATTTGTAATTGATTTGATGTTGTATGGAATTCAATGTTCTAATTATATTTGAAAGATTGTTTCATAAGTAATGGACTGATGACAGCCTTTGAAAACATCTGAAAATGTTAGCTGAAGTTTAATTAGAGTATTTGTGGAATAATAATAAATTAAACATCCACAAATAGTGTTGCCAACTTTTCAAAATTGCTGATCCAGACGGCAGGTCAGGTTTGTTCGAACAGAAGTTCTTGAGGCATGCGCAATGTCATTTTACAATGTGAAGAATAACGTGCTAGATCAGTGTTTCTCAACCCAAAACTCATCGTGGAGCAGAAAATATCTGCTTTTTTTACACGGACCAGTGACAATATTATTTTTAATTGAAAAAATCTTGAACTTGATAAACACCAATCTATCCCTCTGTCATACCAATCACACATACACATGTGCAGTTTTCCTTTCTCCCGACTTATTTAAATATATATTTTTAAAGTTTTCACAGACCGGTCAGATTAGAGTTGCAGACCAGTGGTTGAAAAACACTGTACTAGATAACTTAGCCTGTAGACGTGTATGATCGTACTTGAAAAAAAAGGGGGGGGTCGATAGGTTGCGTGACACATGTCGGCGTAAACAGATGACACACGGCAGAATTGCAGATGAGATGCAGTGGGTGTGAGTTCTTTCGCTGTTAAAACAGTGTAAATTTGTAAAAATATTTGGAAGAACTTTTTCACAATTTATACGAAATTCCCGAACAAAATTAATAGTTCACCCGGACAGTGAGTCAATTCCCTGACTGTCCGGGTGAAAACCGGACGGGTGGTAACACTAGCCACAAACCATACTACAAATACATTCATTACACAGACAGTATTGGGAAAGCAACATGCACAAAATGTATGACAACAGCCATAATCACATAAAATGATTTACCACAACAGACCAGACATAACACTCATTGACAAACACAATCAAATCACATATATTATAGATATATCCATTCCAAACACTCACAATGTACAAAGCACATGCATTGAAAAAAATCAGCAAGTACACAGAACTCACCCAGGCAGGCCTGGGAGTGCCATTTTCCCCCTCTGTAAAGTGAGAAAAGTGAGTTGAAATAAAAAGTGAGTGCAATAGTGACAAAACGAAGTGAAAACACGTTTCACTCAGCAAAATAGCAGTAAAAGTTATTTTCTTTTTATTCTGTTATGGTTAAACACATTTTAAAAATTTCTGTATATACTGTAATACAGTAGCCACTTGTTATATCGCACTTTCTTGGTCCCCCAAATTTTAAGAGCATTTGAGTCAATAAATTTAAAATTACCAATTGCCACTGAATTTCTATTTCCAACGAAATGCAGTATTTTTCTACTATTGTATCTTTCATCTTCATGGTAGTTTCAATACCACTGAAGATGAAACAATAAATTCGTTAAAATCTACATATGCAGAACAGGTGGATAGATCGATTATCATTTGTTTCCTTTTGATATAAAAGTTGTTTATTTATTAGTTTTAAGTAGTCTCCTCATTTACAAGTTTCTGTGAATCCGAAATTTCACACCTTTATGTGAATTAACGGTATTGCGTCAATTCACATAAAGAAATTTCGAATTCACGGCATAATGTGTAAGGAAAAAGATTTCTATAATTCTGAATGAAAAGTACTGAAATTTTTATACAGTAGTAACTTTATTTTGCCTTTTAGAGAATTTTTACTCTGTAATTTTATAAATT